TTTGAGGAGGCTGATAATAAAACTCTGATGTCCCATTTAGCTGGCCCTATGTGTATTAAACTCTTTCTCTATTGAAATTCCCGTCTTGATAAATTGGCTCTATCTGGGCAGCGGGCAAGAAGAACCTGTCGGGCAGTTACACTTTGAGTTAAAAATGTAAATGATCTTGAGGTGGCACTGGGGTTTAGGAAAGAACAGATCAGCAAGGTCCTCCTGTTCAGTGCTCAAAGGCTGCCAAACTGGACTTGGAACATCTGGTCCAAAATAACAGGGCACTAAGGTAGTTTTGGTTAAAAACAACTCAGTTTTGGCTGGGCACAGTGGCTCACACCTGTAATCCCAGCACTTTGGGAGGCTGAGCGGGGCAGATCACCTGAGGTCAGGAGTTCAAGACCAGTCTGGCCAACATGGTGAAACCCCATCTCCACTAAAAATATAAAAATTAGCCGGGCGTGGTGGTGGGTCCCTATAGTTCTAGCTACTCAGGAGGCTGAGGCAGGAGAATCGCTTGAACCCAGGAGGCAGAGGTTGTAGTGAGTCAAGATTGGCACCACTGCACTCCAGCCTGGGTGACAAAGGGAGACTCCATCTCAAAAAAAAAAAAAAAAAAAAAAACCAAAACAAACAAAAAAAACACCTTAGTTTTGCTCCTTCCTAAGTTACACAACTGAATAGTTATGTTGGTTACAGAAGTCTTTAAAAATTCCAGATTTTAATTACATGTTTTATTTTGAAGTTTATTATGAAAAATGTTATTTCAACTCACGTTATTTGGGGCAATTTTGCCATAAAATATAATGTAAACATGTAAGAACCTAATGTGCTGTTACATAGCTTTTTTAATGACAAGGGGTTTTTTAGACAGAAAATAAGCCAATGTTCTGCTTTTCAAAGTGCTAACTGTACTTGCTTACAATACATTGATGAAGCAGCCCAAAAGCCTTGAAACTCTACTAATGGAACTGTTGGGGTACAGAAAACAATACCCCAAAATGAAGGCCTCAGGAGCAAAAGTTTTTCTCTGACCTTTTTGTGCCCTCTTGTCTCACAGTCCCATTCTCCCCAGAGCCAGCCATAGAAATTAGAATTCCCCTTCCCTAAAGCAGGCCATAGAAACCAGAACCCCACTTCCCCAACACCAGCTGTGAAACCTAAAAATATTACTCTAACTTCCCCCCACCTTTCTGTGTAAAAACTGGCCGTAAAAAATGGTCTGGCACACCTTGTCTGACTGTAGGTCATGAGACTCCTGTTCCAGAGGGGTCCTGCCCCACACCCGCAGACAGGAATGCGTGCTCAGTGAGGCCAACAGGAATCCAGACAGGCCGTGCTGGGTTTCCCTGCTCAGTCTATTAGTATCAGATCATACCCTTTCTGTCCAATCATGTTTCTACATGGCTGTCCACACTCTGTTGACCCTAAACCATAAAAAAATGGACAATTTCTGGCCGGGCACAGTGGCTCATGTCTGTAATCCCAATACTTTAGGAGGCCAAGAAAGGTGGATGACTGGAGGTCAGGAGTTTGAGACTAGCCTGACCAACATGGCGAAACCCTGTCTTTACTTTTAAAAAATATACACAAACACAAACACACATACACACGCACACAAATTAGCCAGGAGTGGTGGTGAGTGCCTGTAGTCTCAGCTACTCGGGAGGCTGAGGCATAAGAATCACTTGAACCCGGGAGGTGGGGGTTGTAGTGAGCCAAGATCGTGTAACTGCACTCCAGCCTGGGTGACACAGTGAGACTCTGTCTCAAAAAAAAAAACCAAACAAACAAACAAACAAAAACGACTACATGAAACACACTTTGAATTTCTGCTTCAAAACCTAGGACATCATTATATGCCCATTAACATACTAAATCACACACTCACCAGCGCCATGACAGTTCCGAGAACACCCATATTTGGCATAAAAATGGGTGGCACCACAGTTCCAAGAAATCTCCACCATTTTCCAGAAATTTTCATGAATATTCCACCCTTTGGTTAAAGAAACCCATAAAGATAGAAACCCAAACCAGACTGCATGACTCTCTATTTATTTATTTTTTTGAGATGGAGTCTCACTCTTTCACCCAGGCTGGAGTGCAGTGGCGCGATCTTGGCTCACTGCAACCTCTGCCTTCCAGGTTCAAGCAATTCTCCTGCTTCAGCCTCCCAAGTAGCCGGGATTACAGGCTTGCACCACCACAACTGGCTAATTTTTATATTTTTAGGAGAGACGAGGTTTTGCCATGTTGGCCAGGATGGTCTTGAACTCCTGACCTCAGGTGATCTACCCACCTCGGCCTCCCAAAGTGTTGGGATTACAGGCATGAGCCACTGTCCCCTGCCAGATTCTCTCTTGAGTATACCCACACTCCCCTTTCTTGAGTCGTGTACTTTTCTCTCTGCAATAAATCTCCATACTTTTGCTATATTTGACTCATCCTTTAATTCCTTTTCCCGATGGTGTTAGGAGCCTGGACACAGGGGGGGGTTGAGGTCCCACCAGCATTTGGGGACCTCCCTCAGCCCGCTGGTATCAAGTTTGTATGCCTTTCTGTCCTGGTAAGTAAGCAGTAAGGAGGAAGGGGCTCCAGGCTGGGAAAAACAATGAACAATTGTTCTGAGACACTGCTAGTCACAAACAACTGGTGGGCACGATGACCTCATTTGGCACACAGCTCCCTCCCGCAAGACCCTGTAAACTTCCTTCCAGCCCCTGCTCTTTGCAGACAGCCCCTCCTCTGCTGTGCTGTCTGTTGCAACAACATGTTTTCATACCTTCTGTAATAAATCTGCCTTTCTTTACCCAGAACTGTCTTGTTAAAAAACCTTGACTGCCTGAGACACTGGCCCTAGCTAGTCACACCCATGATATTTTCTCCAATTAACCTGCCTTTTGTGAGCTGATTTTTCAGCGAACTTGCAGAGGGTGAAAAGAAAGTTTTTCCCGTGGCTCCTAGATGGTAGTATGAGTTGCAAGTTCTGTGTCATGGGACACCTGGCTGCTCCTCATGCCAGCCTCTCCAATTAAATAGTTGAGGTATCTATTCATTTAATAGATATGTTGGAAGGTTTATTATTTTTTTCCACAGACATCAGGACCCAGCTATGAAAGGTTTATTTTTAAGTAAACAGAACAATATGGACATAGAAAAGCATTTCAAAGAATGTTTGAATTTGGAAAAAAAAAAAAAAGAAATACAGTAATCTGTCTATAATTGACTATAATTGGGTGACAAAGACTCTTTCCTTTGACAAAAGCTGTAGTCAGGCTCCTCTCGGGAGGTCAAGGTTTTTACCAAGAGGGTTTTGGGTAAGAAAGCAGGTTTATTACAGAAGGTCTGAGAACATGGTGTTGCCTGGGGCAGCACAGTGGGGGAGGGGCTGTCTGCAAAGGCGCTGTAGGGAGGTTTTACTGGGTAGTGTTGGATGGAGCTATGTGAGGCTTCTGCTTGACTAGGCCTGACCTTGGGCTTTCCTCTGTCTTTGGAGAATCCTGTTAGAGCAAGAATCTTGCTAAGTTGGCTTGGCAAAAATCCCCCACCTTTAAGAGCTTATCACCCAGGCCTCCCTTCAGAGCAGGGTGGGGATCAGTAACTTTCCATCCACTGATCCCCACCCTGCTCTTTGGTTATACATCTCCACTTGTCATGTGGGAGTCTGAATTGAGTCCAGTCTTCCTCCCCAACTGCCAGCCCCTCTTGCAGTGGTCCCTCTATGCACTGCCGTGGCCCCGCCTCGAATAAAGTCTGCCTTACCAACTTTAACAAGTGTTTAGGCAAATTATTATTTTTTAACACAGGTTAGTATAATTCAATCAGAGACACAAAGATGAACCAGTATATAGTATTTGCTGCTCATATAACTGGCGGGGCGGGGGAGACAGATTTTATAACAAAATTCAAATATGCTCGTGCTACTACCCAGCTGGCAAGCTGTTTTTAGTAGATCAAACTGAAGCCTCCATTTGTTTAATTGGAACCAAGTGGAAGTATTGTGTACTCTTCTGCTTGCAGGGATATTCTGAAGAGAAGTTTTTCAGAGAAGTAGTTGTGTGGAAACACATTAGTTTGTTGAGCTCTTCAAAATGGAAAGGCAGTTTATGCAGCTATTTGTATGTCTTTCTTGTTAAAGTTCCTCTTTATTGCAGTTCCTTATCAGTGAGTTTCTGGTTCCCTTGCCAGAGGTTTTGTTTCCTATTATCTCTATCCTATGCACTCATCTGCAAGAGTTCCCAGAGGGACTGTGGTTCCAAACTTAAAACCAACAAACAAAAAAACCAACAACAAAAAAAACAACAACTTAAGTTTTCCCTTCTTCCTAGATGTTTTCTTAACTTGTTACTACCTTGAAAAAAACGTTTTTTCCAAAATTTCCTATGGTTATCACAACGGGTATTTTTACCTCTCTCCAAATACCAATCCTTAGACTTAGCTCCTCTAATTTCCTGAATTAGTACTGCAATTGGTGTTCTCTTTTTATCTGCATAACAAAAAGTATTTTCTAGTCTCAAAATTATTTCTAAAGAGACTTAACAGTTATTTCAGAGAAGCCTCAGTCTTAGCCCCCTTCTCTTCTTTATCTATGTAGCTACTTCCTCCCAGGAAGAGCATATCTTTCTGAAGAATGCAATTAATTTTGTCCAAAGTAAGACACCACTCCCTTCCCCTTTTCAACTGCTTATCTATGTATCTTTTTCGGATATGCCAAAACTGCTAAGGCAGCTGTAAGGGTAAAATGATGAAATTTTTTTTAAGGATGGGGGCACTGGCCTCCCTACCTTCCTCTCCTCAGGGTGTCAGGATAAACAAATCAGAATATGAGATATTTTACAATTACATGAAATATGATGAAAATCTTCCTCTTCATAGAATGCCCTAGAAACAGGATTGTACAGGTTGCACAAATGTAAGAGTTAAGTGTTACCTAACTCTAAAAGGATCTAGGATAAATCTTTTCCCCACTTCATAAAGCATATGAACATTAGACATTCAGGGAGTACCTGATAATCCGAGGGCATCACAGGTCCGCCTGAGTTTGCGCCTGAAGGCCCTAGCCGTGGCTTCTTGTTTGGGGGCACCTGGTTCAGGCCGGAGTCCTGGCTGTGCTGCAACCCTGCTCCGGTGCCCCCGACCCCGGCCCCAGCCCCACCTGCAGTCCCGTTGGTCTGGGTGCTGTTCTGCTGTGGCGGGGGCGCCTGTGGAGGGGCTGCTGCCTGCTGTGGAGGGGCTGTGGGCTGCTGATGCTGGTTCTGCTGCTGTTGCTGATTCTTTTAAGGGGAAAAAAGCAAGCTTGGTATGAAACCAAATTAACAGGAACTTTCTTTAATTATTCGATATGCACATGCGGCTGCTGACCAACCTGGGGGAGCAATCTATGTGGGACACTAGAGTGATGGGGAGGACCGGAGAATGGAGCAGCCAGGGAACACAGTGTTCCCAAAGGGCAAGGCACCAAGCCCCAAACAGGACTCTCAATGAAGTTCATTTAGACTCCACAGTGATCCTCCAAATCAGTCACAGACATCTCACTGAAGGCCACAGGCACATCAGAAATACCTTTCTTATAGCTCATTAAAACAGCTATAAGAAATCTTTGCAATCATGATTCTGGAAAGGCAGAGCAGTCTGGAGAGTAAGCCAATATATCCAGTTAAGAAAAAAGAACAGAGTGATGCTAGCAAAAGCCAGCCTGCATAAAGGGGTGGCAGTGACACCAAACAAACAGAAAGAGCAAGAAGTGGGAATCCGGGAGTAGAACTGGCTGTGACATACACCGGAAGCTCAGGTATCTGTGAGCTGGTCATACTTCAAACTTCAAGGTACCTTTACAATCCCCAAACTTCCACAGAAAATAAGACACATTCAAATTTAATTAAATATTAGAAAAGGTGGTTAAACATATAGGAATTATGGAATGATACCTAAGCTATCTTTTTGCCTCCCTCACTCTTTGGAAGTGAAAGTATACAATGCAGTTTATACCTTGTCACCTTTTTCTTCAGGATCATCTTCATTAAGGAATTCTCGTTTGGGGTATGGAATCTGGCAGCCGGCAAATACACTAAAAATCATTAAAAAGAAAAAAACATATCATGATCTAAAATCTGTAATATCCTTACCTTGTTAATTTAAAATTCCAATTTGTTTTTCTTCACTTATTTCCTACTCTTCATCTGTGGCTAGTGTTCAAATCTTGACTGCTGCTAGCTAACTGACACACAGGACATAGAAGTTTCTCTATACTAACTTCATTAGCACCAAAAATAAATTAATTTGTATTTGCCTTAAGAAAAACTGCACCTCTTATAGATGAAAACACAAAGTCTATACTTGGGGGTAAAAAGGATGGAGGAGTAGAGGGGTTTTGTAGTGCTCTGGAAGACAGATTAACTTCTGTTACCTGCTGGTTTGGCTGAATTTCTGATCCGGCCAATTGGTCTGTGAAGGTCTTACCTGTTCTCAGCTTTAGTTTTCATCGTAAAACTGACAAATGGTCGTTCCTAAAATACTTGTTTTCATTCATACCTCTCTACAGCTTTGCCTGTTTCAAAATGTGGAAGCTTTCTCTTGAGCAGTCTTTAGGTGGCATCACTGAAAAAGTTAAATACTTCAGTAGCAAGTGCTTCCCTTGCTTTCAAACACCACGCCACCTCCTCAGCCTGGAGCAAAGGACACAGAAAAGACGGGACACATACTCTAATGTTGGCAAAGGGTCCTCCTGAAAATAGGGATCCTGCAGAGCTTGCTCCGAGGTAATTCTCTTGGTTGGATCCATGGTCAGGAGTTTCTGAAGCTAGAGTGACACACAGGAAATGCAGAGCACATGAAAAGGTTGTTTACAAGTCAACGCCTTGCCTTTTGTATTCCTGTGTAACAGGATTAATATAAAATACATTTTGTATAGCTCACTGCAGATTAAGCATACTACATACTTTTATGTGAAACTGGCAGAAATCATCAGCCTTAAAGCCCTTTTAAAGTTCATTTTCTGCTGATAAATCATTTAAAGTGAAGGCTGAAAGACAAGGGTGACATCTCAACAAAAAATATTTAATTTTGCCCCAGCATCCAACAATTTCTTTTGTTTCTAAAGAGGAGGAACAGCTGAGTGAACAGAAGGCGAGAGTTGTGCTGAGAATCAGATTTCAGTCTGGGAGAGAAGCACCTACCAAGAGGAACACTTTGCTGTCGGGCTTGACCTTGTGTTTCTCCATGTACTTTATGAGGCTACTGTTGGCATACCTGCAAGGACACACACAGTCACACGTCACTGGGAACGCTCATCCAATTGATATTTTTTAATGACAAGCTCCAAGATTGGCTTTCCTATAAGGTATGTGTTTAAGACATTGTTTTTTCTGATTAAGAAGGAACACATTACCAAATATTAGCAAATGTGTGAAGAAATAGGAAATGTCACACATAACATGAGAGTTTACACTGTTACAATCCCTTTGGAAAACAGTTATGCATTAACCATTAGTGTTGAAAATGTGTATAGCCTATGACCCATCAACTCCATTTCTAGGCACAAACCTGAGTCAAAGGATGCTTTTGCACATGTATATCAGGATACATGGATAAAAATGTTCTTAGCAGCCTTTTAGTAATGGTCATATATATATATATATATATATATATATATATATATATATAGACAACCCAAATGTCCATCAACTGAAAAATGGGTACGTTTTTATATATACACAGAATGGAATGTTATACAACAGTAAAAACGAATATGCGAGGTTAAGTGAGGAGAAAAAGCAAGTTGCAGAAGAAAATACATAATATGTTACCATTTATAAAAAGTTGAAAGACAATAAATTGAACAATATTTTTAGAGTTACATAAACATGTGGATTAGAACTCTAATAAAAACTGTGGGATGATAAACTCAAACGCAGAACACTCAGAGTCTATCCTCTGGGAGGGAGGTGGATAGGGAGATGGGGCACACAGAGTACTTTAGTAATCTTAGTGATGTTCTAATTCTTAGGTTCAGAGGTGAGCAAAGGGGTATTCATTTTATTATTCTAAATATACTATATGTTTTTTCATTATATATTATTTCCTACATATGAAATATTTCAAATTAAAAAGGTCTAAAAATAGTTAATATATGTTCATGATAAAAAGAATTACAGAATATAGAAAGTATAAGGAAGAAAATTAAAATCACAATCAAGCCACTCCGTGGCCAAAAAACCACTGACAAAATTTTTGTAATGTCCCTTTGGCGTTGTGTGTGTGTGTGGCGTATACATACATGGTATAAACACAGGAATTTTTGCTTTGTTTTTATAAAATTGGAATCCTACTATAAAAATTGTCTTAGCTTTTTATTTAATATTGTTCCATAAACATTTTCCCTTGTCAAATACTCTTCAAACTTATTGAGTGGCTGCCTATCTCCTACTGGTACGGGTATTACTCGTTTCATAATAACTGTGGCATACAAGTCGTTGTAGCTAAATCTGATACGCATGGCAGGGAGGCGACACTGCCTAGCGGATGAGACTCAGAGACCCCTCCTAGACCCTGATTCAGTCATTCACCAATTGTGTGATCTTGGGCAAGTTAGTTAACCTCTGTGAAAGCCTTAGGTTCCGAATCTGAAAAGTGGAAACTGTAATTATACCTACCCTATAGATTTGCTAGGAAGATCTTAGGAAAAAATGTCAGTAAAGGGTTTAGCACCACCCTGGTATATAAGAAGTACTCATCTATTTGTGGCAGCTCTGATTACTTCCACAGGATAAATTCCAGGAATTATCAGGTCAAAGGGCATGCACATTTTAAAGTCTTTTTTAGGTGCTCTAGAATCTCACTACACAAATGTAGCCTTTACCAGCAACCTGGGCATCACCTGAGAGCCTGCATTAGAAATGAAGGTTCTTAGTCCTCACCCCTGATTCTGACTTAGAATCTACATTTTTAACAAGGTCTCCAGGTGGTTTGTAGGTACACTGAAATTTGAGAAGTACTCATTCTCTCCAGTAGCATATGAGTAATAATTTTTAAAAAATAAAAATAGAGATAGGGTCTAACTATGTTGCCCAGGCTAGTTTCAAACTCCTGGGCTCGAGATCTTCCCGACTCAGCCTCCCAAAGTGTGGGGAGTAAAGGCATGAGTGAGCCACTGTGCCTGGCCGGAATGTCCATTTTACTGTACCCTTGCCAACAAGGTACCATACAATGTTAAATGAAAATAACTAGTTTGGTTTTGGGTGTTTAAAGAATTTATAGAACATTCAGGTTGGGATTCCATAAGGCAATTAGATAAATGATTTTGAAACTTGGAAAAGTGAACGGAGTAAGATACATATTGGGAGTTATCCACATAATGGATGGTAAATTATGGCCATCAAAATCATGACATCTGACTGGGAAAGTATCCAGAGTGAGAAGAGGGCCCAGGATAGAACCTTGATATTAGCACTGTCCTTGAGAGATGGATACAGGCAAAGGACCTCACCAAGGATTGTGAGAAAAAGGGGTCAGAAATGATCAATGCCATTCTCTATTTCTCTTAATGATGTCTGCTTTTGTTCCTATAAGCCATCCTGTCCTAAAATTTTCCTGGTAAGTTGCCAATAGAGAAGCTCTTCCACAATTTTCGGTAGGTGTGCATATTTATAACAAACACCTCACATGCCATCACCCTTAATCTCATTTCTGCTCAAAGTAAATGCCTTCATCAGTTTGTTTTACTCATATTCCAAGCCACATGTTCTTCCTTCTGCCAGCCTTCCAGGTTTCCTAGTCCAGCATATCAGTTACCAGTCATTACTCAGAAAAAATAAAACCACAGCTGTGGCCTTGAACGGAGACCTTTATTCATGCTAAAACATAACAGACATAAACTACCCATTGACCCTTACATTCTTAAAAGTCTTTAATACTGCAGCCTAAACCTGAACTATATACGTTAATGGTATCTGGAATACCTTTTGTAAATCACAGGCATAATTAGTATGCTAAAATCTCAGTTTCTAGTTTAAATAACAATCTACATATGTTTTTTAAAAAGATTAACTATTCTCATTGAAATTACTACCTATAATTAATGTGCACTATGGTTTGAATATTTATGTCCCCTCCAAAATTCATGTTGTTGAAACTTAATTCCCAATGCAACAGTGTTAGAAGATAAGGCCTTCCAGAATCGAGGGCTTTGCTTTCAGGAGTGGGACTAATGCCTTGTAAAAGAGGCATCACACAGCATCTGCCCCTTTTTGCCCTTCTATCTATGTGAGGACACAGCAACAAGGCACCACCTTGGAAGCAGAAAACAACCTTCACGGGACTCCAAACATGCCAGTGCCTTGACCTTGGATTGTCCAGCCTCAAGGCCTGGGAGAAAACAAATTCCTGTTGTTTATAAATTACCCAGTCTAAGGTATTTTTTTACAGCAGCACAAAAAGACTAGGACTGTGTGGAATTACTTACGTTGTTCTTCTAAAGTCTTTTTGAAGTGTGGGATATTCTGGCATCTTTCTAATATCTTCCCAGTCTTTATCTTACAAAAAAATTAAATATTGTTATAGAAAATAATGTGTTAATTTAAAATCTCCTAATTATGTCAGTTTATAAATATACATTAAATTTTGCTTTTGAGAAGAAATGATTTTGAAATATGACTCAAAATACGACTTTAAAAAGGAAAATAAATTACCTGCAGGAAACCCCATGACACTAAATATCCGATCCAGTTGATCATGATGAAATGGATTGCTTGTTTTTATATCTTCCTGACGACAGTGAAAAATAGGTTCTGAAGTCAACAATTCAGCAAATATACAACCTATTGCCCATATATCTAGGAAAGAAGAAACATAAGTTTTTGTATATATTTCCTTGGTTATAATTCCCAGATATAATCCCAGCCTACTTATAAAAATACTTTTCAGTAAATCAATATACAAAGTATAATAAGTGCATTAAGAAAACATTATTGTACTTTGTATTTTAACATATGTGTGGGTATGTGTGTGTATATATGTATGTATACATATGTGTGTGTGTGTATATATATATGAGACATGAAATAACTATATCATCATGTAACAGATTGAAAGCCAAATAATAAAAAGACATTTACTTGTAAATTTTCTGATGACAATAAACAGGGTAAGTCAATTTAGCAAAAAACAAATTCTTTAGATTTAGGCAAAGGTCTTTCTAACCACTTTTTTTGTTGTTGTTTTTGGGGTCTCTGTCACCCAGGCTGGAGTACAGTGCTGTAATCATGGCTCCCTGAAGCCTTAAACTCCTGGGCTCAAGCAATCCTCCTGCTTCAGCCTCCAGAGTAGTTGAGACTGTGGGTGTGTGCCACTGTACTTGGCTAAGTTTTTAGTTGTTTTATAGAGACAAGGTCTCACCATATCTAACCACTGTGAATAATTTAATCATTAAAGTATTCAATTGATAATCTAATACCAGGCATAGTACTCAGATCTGATATACTGAAATAATATCATCATCAGACATAGTGATGTAATTCTTTTAAAGCCATCCAATGTATAATGATAGAGCAGAATTTACAAGTTTTGAGTCTCGACAGACAGTATAGACCATATAAAAGAACTGGGGAGGATGGGCGCGGTGGCTCATGCCTGTAATCCCAGCACTTTGGGAGGCCGAGGTGAGTGGATCACTTGAGGTCAGGAGTTCGAGACCATCCTGACCAACATGGCGAAACCCTATCTCTATTAAAAATACAAAAACTTAGCCAGGTGTGGTGGCATGCGCCTGTAGTCCCAGTACTCAGGAGGTAGATGCAGAAGAATCACTTGAATCCAGGAGGCAGAGGTTGCAGTGAGCTCAGATTGCACCACTACACTCCACCCTGGGCAACAGAGCAAGCAAGCCTCTGTCTCAAAAAATAAAATAAAATAAAAAGAATTGGGGAAAAAACTTTTGTCTCAAAGACTACTAGCTTCAGCTTTTTCAACAAATTGCTCTAGAAGCTCATAAATAATACTATATATAGTACTGCATGACATAGATCTTACTTAAACATATTCACTTATATGCTACCCCACATCCACCCCACCCCTCAGGATAAAGTTAGGCATCTTTAGAAGTTTTATTAACTATCTAAAATCACCAGTCATAGATTATTCTATTAAAATTTACACACTGAAAGACTGCAGCTTATATTCTGAGACTACAATATTATATTCACAATGCTTTGACAGATGTATAAGTGAATTAACTTTTGTGAGACTTGCCCACTTAAATGCCATTTAGTAAATATTTTTTAAAAAGAAGACAGTCTGTGTGTGGTGGCTCACGCCTGTAATCCCAGCACTTTGGGAGGCTGAGGCAGGCAGATAACCTGAGGTCAGGAGTTCTGACCAACATGGTAAAACCTTGCCTCTCCTAAAAACACAAAATTAGCTGAGCGTGGTGGCCCATGCCTGTAATCCCAGCTACTTGGAAGGCTGAGGCAGGAGAATTGTTTGAACCTGGGAGGTGGAAGTTGTAGTGAGCGGAGATCGCGCCACTGCACTCCAGCCTGGGCAACAAGAGAGAAACTCCATCTCAAATAAATAAATAAATAAATAAATAAATAAAATAAAAGATAAAAATTCAAAAACTATGGTATAGGTTGGGCACGGTGGCTCACACCTGTAATCCCAGCACTTTGGGAGGCCAAGGTGGGTGGATCGCTTGAGGCCAGGAGTTCAAGGCCATCCTGGCCAACATGATGAAACCCCATCTCTACTAAAAATACAAAAATTAGCCAGGTGTGGTGATGTACGCCTGTAGTCTCAGCTACTTGGGAGGTTGAAGCAAGAGAATCCCTTGAACCCAGGGGGCGGAGGTTGCAGCGACTCAAGATCACACCACTGCACTCCAGCCTGGGCGACAGAGCAAAACACCATCTCGGAAAAAACAAAAAACTATGGTACAGAGATAAAAAAGTACTGTGTTTAGTAGCCTATTAAATATGGGAATCACATTCTGCGATGAGCTAAACAAGGAAAAAGGTTAATTACACTATTCCTTCCTCATCCAAGTTTTTGCCTTCCAGTTTCAGTTACCTGCAGTCAACCACTGCAGTTCGAAAATACTAAATGGAAAATTCCAGAAATAAACAATTTATAAGTTTTAAATTGTGTACCATTCTGAGCAGTGTGATGAAATTTCATGCTATTCTCTCCATCTTCCCGGGATGTGAATCATCCCTCTGTTCATCCACACTGTATACTCACTACCTGCTGGTTAGTCACTTAGTGGTCGTCTGGGTTATCAGATCAAAGAAACACTATATACAGGGTTTGGTGCTATCTGCAGTTTCAGGCATCCCCTCGGGGGGTCTTGGAACATATTCCCACCTGATAAGTGAGGACTACTGTATATCCATTAGCTAGAAGACATATCAGAATGCTCTCTCCTGAAACGAATTGCCAAATGGAAAAATCCATACAGTAATGCCTTACTTATTTGACCACATTCAGGTACAGTTTCCTTCCACATAATTTAGCCTTTTGGATAATGGAAACATATTCCTTCAACAACCATTTTTTAATTACACCATTGTCTGCCACCATAAGAGGCTATAAAACACAATGTAATCCTCACTACAGAGTAGAAGAATAATACTGCTCAGTGTCCATTTCTGAATTCTTCTCTCTCTCTCAAGTCATATTGGTTGTCACTCTTCCCCCTGATATGGCTGCCTCTGATGGTCCCATCTCTCTTCCTCATTACCGCCTCTACTATGCAGTCTACCAGGACTACTACTGCATATGCCTGGTCACGCCAATTCCTGGTTTGTCCTCCATCCAAAGGACAAGAGCCAGGGTCTTGAGTTCCCAGTGAACTGCTAAGATAAGAAACCTCAGATAGCAGGTGGCAATAAATTCAAAGGGTTTCTGCCTCCTATTAGCCTGCAATGTCAAAAGGCCATCTGGCTCCTGCACCATCTGTAGCTACTTTTCAGGTTTCTTTCCTCTATCAATGACTTGTTCTCCTGACACACACATACACACACCCACTCCAACACTGCTGCCACCATCACTGCCACTCCCCTCCCCCACTAAATGTCACTCCATAAACCTCCACTGATATCAAATAATCAAACTCTCTTTTTTCTATGCCCTGAATCAAAGTACTCATTTCTTTTTTCGACAGAGACTTGCCCTGTCACCCAGGCAGGTGGGCAGTGGTGCGCTATCGGCTCACTGCAACCTCTGCCTCCTGGATTCAAGCAGTTCTCTCACCTCAGCCTCCTGAGTACTGGGATTACAGGTGTGTGCCACCATGCCTGGCTAATTTTTGTATTTTTGGTAGAGACAGGAATTCACCACATTGGCCAGGCTGGTCTTGAACTCCTGACCTCAAGTGATCCATCTGCCTTGGTCTCCCAAAGTGCTGGGATTACAGGTGTGAGGCACCTTGCCCGTCCCTAAGTACTCATTTCTAACATGGACCATGTATGGAGAAGAATATGAAAAAGTGAGTAAGTATGTACCTATAAATGTCTGCTATTAACATATTTGAAGCCCTAAGATATCTGATTTGGGCATTATTCTTTCTTTCTGTCTTAACTTTCTCCTACCTTCTATCCAGAATGGGTAATTAGGAACTGACTAAAATTAGAAATTAGTGATTATGTTTTTATCTTTAAGTGGTAAATTTCATTTACTGAGCAAGTAAGTTACAAGCCAGTTAAAATTCAATTTCATTTTTCCTTACCCTGAGGAATAAGAAGTATAATTGGTTTTCAATTCATATCCAATACATTTATTTTAAAAAAGCATCTATTTTCATTTCAACAAGAGAAAAGTAAATCAGAAAATATTCATAAAACTGTGCTTCTCAGAGTGTGGGCTCTCAAAGTATATGGGTCACGCACAACAGAATCACCTACCTAAGGGCCTGGACCTGCTGTGTTAGATTCTCTGAGAGTGGGACAGACATTGGTGGAGAGTCATTTAGCTTAACAGAAGGTTTTGACTGAATGTGCCTTTTCCTAATGGAAATCTCCCTTCTAGATATAGACTGTCCTGGTGTTTGGATTAAGCCTAAGGCATATGGATTTCTGCGGAGACTGCATCCTCTTCTCCCTTCCTCGTGCCCTGGGTTATCTGTCATTAACCTGTTCTAAGGCATCACCTGTTACTTTCAACTAACACTCTTTCCTTCCCTGGCTTACTTTCAGTCTCTTCCTATCCTCTGGTTCCTTCTGAGGTTGTTTAAGGGATTTGACTGTTTTCAACAGTGGGTAAGGAGAGACCTAAATGACAGAAAAAACAAACTTACAATTCTAAAAGTCTCAGAAATACAGCTCCATAGTAAAAATCACTGGTTAGAATGTACACAGGCAGGCTCTGGTGTTAGCTCCTCACTCTCAGGGCCATGCCATCCCTTCCATTGCTGTCCGTGTTCTTTCCTCACCTTTTGCAGACAGCTGCCATTGCCCACTGATGACACCTGGCCTTGGTAGCCTCTGCTCTGCTGCCTTACCAGAGGCCCAGCTGCACAGGTAGGGGTCTGATGTCACTCTCACATTCCTCTACTGTCAAACACATACCAGTCTACTCAGAGGATTTTTCACTAATTTAACAAAACTATTCAGCAGCATTTATCAGTAATTTACAATGTCCCAGCACTGTACTAGAGTCTCTGTCTCTGGACAAAATCTAAATGTGCTCTGGTGTCTGAGTTTTGCAGAAATCAGACGTCTTGATGAATGAGGACTTACTATATTTTAATTTTTGTTTTCTTTCTTTAACCCATGAGTAGGCTAACTATCGGTCTAATCTTTCCAAATGTGAGAATTTCCTTTGCAGCTCTTTGGATGTCACCAGGTTTTTCATAAGCTTGTTTAGCAGAGAAAGGATTGTGCTTGTCTATTTTTAATAACTTTATACTTGCAGTGCCTTTATTAAATAGAATTCAACAAAAGCAGCTAAAGGTAGCCAAAACTGATATGCAACTAATGCCAGTAAACAGAAAATTCAATAAGGAAAATTTAAAGAAATATACTTAGGAAATTTGGATACCTTGTAGAACTAGCCCTTCTAACAGCTACAGTGTACTCTGCCCTACTCTCTTCTTTTCCTTCCTTTAAAGAAATCTCTAGGTTTGAGGAGGGTCAGCTCCTAATGACTCCCTCCATTTGCAGCTGGGCCGTCTGAGGATACTGCAGTCACCAGGTAGCAAATCTCTGAAGCCACTGTTCTGAGGCAGACTTTAAATCCTACAGAGAGTGTGTTTACAACAGATTTTCTTACTCAGTTTTTTTTTGACTTGATGAGATGGCAAGATGCTGAGCACAGCTAATCTACCCAGACTCTATTTCCTACCTTAATGGAGAAACTGCCATTCTCATAACCGTAATGGCAAGACAGAAAGATTAGTTATATTGCTTCTTGCTTAAACGATGTGACTAACTTTTCCCCAAATAGAAGGGGTTCTTTCCAATACTGCACTACTCCTGTTTTTGTTTTTCATTTTGTGAAGAAAACAATTCTAAACTTCTCTCCAGTTCTTCTGATCAACAGCTACTAAGTACAAAATAAAATGTGCATGTTATTGTTTCCATAGCAACTCAACAGGATCAGATACTGATACCTCTATTCTCTGAAAGAAAACGCTTTCTTCTTTTAAAATAACCATATTCTCCTATACAGTTAAGAATACAAATCTACCAGAAATCTAGGAATACAGAAGACAATAGGACTTTTACAAAAATGTATAAAATGGTTTTTATCAAGTAGCTTTATTATTATACCATTTTATATTTATGATCGTTAGATGCCAAGATAGTAAATCATTTTAGACCAACTTACCAATGGCCTTTGTATAATGCCTTGCACCAAGCAAAAGTTCTGGAGCCCGATACCAAAATGTCACAACTACTGGATCCAAATCTGCTAGTGGCTTTAGAGGAGAATTGAATAATCTGGCAAAACCCATGTCAGCTAAAAAAATAAAATAAATTAACATAAAATTCAGTTTGATCGTTTCTCGCCCTTTTGGCTAAGATCAAGTGTAAAATTCAGTTTGACATGCATTATTAGAACCATGCAAGGTTGACAACAATAGCTGCTGACCTTATAAAGCAATCCTTTTCCTCCCTTTTTAACCAGAGGTCTACACCAGGTGCCAGAAAGGAATTATTTCATTTACCTTTATTATCTACCATCAGAAGTAGATACTATTATTGTGCCGGTTTTACTGATGAAGAAATTGAAGCTTAAAGATATTCTGGGCTGGCGTGGTGGCTTACGCCTATAATCCCAGCACTTTGGGAGGCCGAGGTGGGCGGATCACCTGAGGTCAGGAGTTAGAGACCGCCTGCACAACATGGTGAAACACCATCTCTACTAAAAATACAAAAATTAGCTGGGCATGGTGGTGCACGACTGTAATCCCAGCTACTTGGGAGGCTGAGGCAGGAGAACTGCTTGAACCCAGGAGGTGGAGGTTGCAGTGAGCCAAGATCACACCACTGTACTCCAGCCTGGGTGACAGAGTGAGACTCCATCCCCTGCCCCCCAAAAAAGATAATCTGATTTGCCTAAGGTCACACAGCTAGTAAGTGCAGAGGCAGTATTAGAATCCAGGTCTGACTTCAGATTCCTGGCATTCACAGACAGTTATAAAAAGGTTCTTAAGTGTTTTTGAAATATAAAACAATTCAAAAGTCTCCCTGATTGATGATGACTTCTGTATGCTTATACATCTAAAAACTGACTGTGGCCAGGCGTGGTGGCTCACGCCTGTAATTCCACCACTTTGGGAGGCTAAGGCAGGAGGATCATGAGGTCAAGAAATCAAGACCATCTGGCCAACATGGTGAAACCCCATCTCTACTAAAAATACAAAAATTAGCTGGGTGTGGTGGCATGCACCTGTAGTCCCAGCTACTCAGGAGGCTGAGGCAGGAAAATCACGTGAACCCAGGAGGCAGAGGTTGCAGTGAGCTGAGACTGCACCACTGCACTTCAGCCTGGGTGACAGAGCAAGACTGTCTCAAAACAAACAAGAGACAGAGCAAGACTCTGTCTCGAAACAAACAAACAAAACCTGACTATGTCTTAGTTCAGTGTGTGCTGCAGTCAGATCCAACAAACTCACAAGAGCTGATATATACACATCTTTTTCCAATTCTGCATTCAATGACAGCATACTGGTGATTTGGAACTGGCTATGGTAGAAGTATCTACAACATGGAAAACAGCAAATGCTACAAATTGGGACATTTTTTGCTCCAGAGAGCCAGTTGCTGAATGGTAATCAGCACATCACATGCATGTTTTCAAGAACATACACAGAACACATAAAAGATAATTTGTTGTAATTCAGCATTTAACAAAGCTCTAAACCAAAGCTAATCAGTTGAAATATTAGGGGTATGTAAAAGTAGTAAAAAAAAATTACTACTGCAATAAGATCCTGGAAACTAATTTTCTTAAGATATCATAAATAATAAATACCTTTTATCTACAAAGTCCTTTGCAGTTTACAAATGGCTTTCATATACATCATATTTCACCTCATTGAATCCTCATAAGAATACTGGTTTAATCAGTATTTTGCTCCCTATTTCAGAGATGAAGAATCTAAGGCCCAAAGCAGTTAAATGACTTGTCTATGGTCACAGGGATAGTAAATAAAGATGCCGGTACTCAAACAAAAACCATGTTATAATTTAGGAGTTACCTTCTTAACTACTAAATCTGACATCCAACAAATTATACACATGATAATTGCAAGTCACAAAGGCAAAGTCACAAGAATAAGCCTCTGTAATTTGAATACATAATATATATATAACCAATTTTGGTAGTATAAGGGGTCCCAGTGTACTATAAAATGCATAAATGCACATAAAATTTTCAACCACAGAGTGTCATTTAATCTAAAACTAATGTGCTATGGTATAACAGACATTAAAATTGTAATTTACATTTACATAGCAGAATAGGCAAAAAATCTTTTTAATTTATAGAAAGTTTGGGGTTTTGTTTTGTTGTTTCTGTTTTGAGATGGGGTTTCACTCTGTTGCCCAGGCTGGAGCGCTGTGGTGCCATCTCAGCTCACTACAACCTCTACCTCCTAGGTTCAAGTGGTTCTCCTGCCTCGGCCTCTCCAGTAGCTGGGATTACAGGCACGCGCCACCACGCCTGGCTAATTTTTGTATTTTAGCAGAGATGGGGTTTCACCAGGTTGGCCAGGCTGGTCATGAACTCTTGACCTCAAGTGATCTGCCTGCCTCAGCCTCCCAAAGGACTGGGATTACAGGCATGAGCCACTGAGCCCAGCCTGTAGTGATTCTGTTTCTTTGGATTTTGAATAATTTGTAAGACTGTTTTGAGAATGCTTTGGAGTATCGAGCTCTTAAAAACTAAAGCTATCCAAAGGAAGCCTGTGCTGATGCCTACTCTTTTTAAACTACATTTCCCTATACCAAACAAAAATATTCAAGTTCATTCTACCAATATTACACCTATTATTCTACAATATTACACAATATTCAAGGCACTGTTTTATATATTTAATAAATGCTAATTGTTGTTGATGACACAAAGTAATATGATGGAATGCTGTTTCATCCATTGAAAAACATTTTAAAGTGAAGTTAGCTAAAGCCAATATTTCTCCCGTTATTCTCTACCTCCTAAGTTTTACCTAAGCCTCATGTATTCACTCACAGATGAAATCAAGGCCAGAAGGAAAAAATAGATACTTTTAAAAATAATTCCCATGTATTTTATGAACTTTAAAAGAGTTTCAAACTACTTTTCAAATAATTACTAATTTAGACAAAAGGGAATTAGCCTAAAGATTACTATAACAGTTGACTTTCTAAAATTACACATGGATGAAATTGTTCCAGTTCACGGATAAGGGTAGTAAAATTCTGGTGTGGGTGCTAATTAGTATCAAATGATGAAAAGCAGCAACCAACAAGGTCTACCACTAAGGAACTTACATGAAGGTCAGATGACAAAATATACATATTAGAAGCAAAAAAGTGATAAGTACTGTGAGAATAAAGGAAGTTGTTACCGGTTTCTACTAGATGCTAAGCTCCCTGGGGGAAGGTGTATTTCTCCTTTATTATGTTATCTGGAACAATGTACAATAAACATTTGTAAAAGCAGACTAAATTGAAAGTGGGACTTGGGCTGGATCCTGAAGGATGAATTATTTTGAACAGCAAAAGAGGAAGGCAATAAGCATTTTAGGTAAGGCCTGGGAAGTTTTTAGGTTGCTGAGAATGGGAAGGCTCAGATATAGCAAAGGGCAAAATGTGTTTTCCATGCAACTATCCTTTTCTTACCCACTCCCTTGCCCCACCACCGCCCCCTGGATATGGAATCTTGCTCTGTTGTCCAGGCTGGAGTGCAGTGGTGCTATCTCGGCCCACTGCAACCTCCGCCTCCTGCGTTCAAGCGATTCTCCTGCCTCAGCCTCCCAAGTAGTTGGGATTACAGGCACACACCACCATGCCCAGCTAATTTTTGTATTTTCAGTAGAGACGGGGTTTCACCATGTTGGCCAGATGGTCTCGATCTCTTTATCTCGTGATATGCCCACCTTGGCCTCTCAAAGTGCTGGGATTACAGGCATGAGCCACCATGCCCAGCCCAACTATCCTTTTATTTTAAGCCAAAAAAGAACACTGTATCAAACCATTAGGCATAGGCATCAGTATTACTAATGTTTAAAAAAAAATAGTGGCTACTAAAACAAAATTTAAAATCCATTTAATAAACTATCTTGATTGTCCACTAGATCTTTATCATTAAATTATTTCTTATTTTTAACCCTGGTTTTATCCCTAATCTTGGTAGAATTACAATCTTAAAACTCTTAATAGTGAGGTAACTAAGTGGCCCGGCCAGAGTACAGAATTTTATGTTAAGGAGTACTAAGAGAAGAAATTAGATTTGGGTGACTGGGAGAAAGGTGACGAATGGAACAAACAAGGGGAAGACACGATGATGATGATGAATTTGGTTTGGGACAATGGAGGGTAAGTTACCAGCAAGATATTCAAATAGAAATAAAGACTTCAGCTAGGGTGAGAGATTAGACTCTGGCATCAAGATCTTAGAATTATTTTCATAAATCCATGATCCTGAGGCCACAACTTATCAATTTCCTAAAGAAGTAATTTTAGAGGGAGGCCATGTCCTAAGCCAGTGCCTGGAAACAATAGGTTAGTAGGAGTAAGAGGCAAGAATGAATAAAATGCAAAGTCACAGCAAAAGTGGGAGGCAGAAAAACTGAATTATGGTATGTCATATAGACCAAGGGAGAAGACACCCTCAAAGCCAGACTGTCAGAAGAACAAATGGTTTACTGCAGTAAAGGAGAAAGGTGATTAATACAGGCCACTTGATTTGGTAAGGCAGAGGTCACAGGTGTCCTTTTAGAGAGGACTTTTGATAGAGGGATAGAATTAGAGGCCAAATTATAACAAATTAGAGTAAGTAGAACATCATGTGTTCTAAAAGAAGAAGAACAAAAAGGGAAATGAATAGAACAAGTGCTAAAGAAAACAAGATAGATACAAGATTTATTTTAAATTGGGAAGAGGACGATGAATGTTTAAAGGTGAAAAAGAGGAACTTGAGAAGGGGAAAATGGCAGTACTATGAGGAGTTTAATTAAGGTAGGAAGACATTTAGAAGCTACGAAGGGCACTAGTAGATAGGACTTAGGAAGGGAAAGTCTCTCTTTCATAGAGGCTTTCTCAAGGGCAGGGCTGTACAGCCAAAGAGTAGAGGTCAGTGAGGTCACACCAGACAGCTCTGATATCACTACGCAGGGATGTTTGTAGGGAAAGAGCCTCAGGACTTGGAATTCAAGTTCTAGCTTTGACAGGCTGAGGAAGCTACAACCTCTCTAAATATTGTCTTCCTTATCTTCAGAGGGTGGTTGTGTAAAATAAATGAGGTAACATATGAAAGTACCTATTGCAATGTATAGTAAACTGTTTATTTTACTGTCTCTCACAGAAGAGACCATCCTCTACCTCCCTTTCACCTGTATCTGGCAAAAAATAGGAACTCAATAAATGCCCCTAAGAAAAGGTGTGCAAGAGTAAAATAAAAATAGAGACAAGTGAGAAAGTATGGTGGAAGTGGAGGGGGGAAGAGAAAGAAAACTACCAGCTACTTAATTAACATCAAACTTTTGAATGAATCTGACAATCTCAGCAAATTTAGGATAGAGGTGTTTAAAGAAAAGGGTTGGTTTAGAACAGCTTCTTTAGCAACTGGGCTAGGGAGTTAACTGAAGAGGTAGAAAACCAAACAGCAGGGCAGGCTTGAAATAGGGCAGCATGAATTTGTAGCGGGTCAAGTGAGCACAATTTTGCATCACCTTTAGCATGGTATATTCTAACAGCAAAGAAATCAGGCTGATGAATACATTTTAACATATTTCTAAAAAGCATTCAACTTTCAATAAATATAATTTCTAGTAAAAGAAATTAGAATAGGCTGGGCGTGGTGACTCATGCCTGTAATCCCAGCACTTTGGGAGGCCAAGGCAAGCAGATCACCTGAGGTCGGGAGTTCAAGACCAGCCTGGCCAACATGGTGAAACCCCATCTCTATTAAATACACAAAAAAATTAGCCAGGCATGGTGGCGGGAGCCTGGAGTCACAGCTACTTGGGAGACTGAGGCAGGGAAAATTGCTTGAACCCAGGAGGCGGAGGTTGCAGCGAGCTAAGATCATACCATTGCACTCCAGCCTGGGCAACAGAGAGAGACTCTTGTCTCAAAAAAGAAATTAGAATAAAGCATTTATTAGCTCATCTTCTCCCCAAATATGTAATAGGTATAAATGATGCTGATTATTTTTTAGAACATTCAGGATTACAAAGGAAATCTTAATATACAAATAAGATTCCTGCTAGTGCCTTAATCGAAGAGAGGTAGCTAAGAGAGTCTGTAAACATATATATCCATTTGGCAAAGATATGTTAGTACTTGGCTCAAGACATGCAGGCCAGGTGTGGTGACGTAGGGAGAACCTGTGAAGGTTTAAATGAATTCGCTCAGGGTAGGGAGGAAAATATTCAGGAAGAGAGTATTTGGTAAACCTGAAACAAAGGTAAGATTTAGAGGATTATATTTAAGGTGGCTGTGCAGGACAGTGGTGGTGACATAAACACATGCTTGGGTTATTGTATGGGAATCGAATGCTTTTATGAACTTACTTGTCAATTTCCAGTGATGCCTCAACTTAGAACTAAAGAATCTTATTTTGGGAAAAAGCCTAGGAGTTTTGTAGACTATCTTTCTACATTTTCCAATATCTTTTCTAACAATAATAAGAGAAAGTAAATTTAAAATTAACTACCTAAATAAGGGCATTAAGAGGGGAAACCACCTTTGCAGTTAACTTCAGTTTTTAAATAAATTATTTTAGGAATAATTACCTACCTATTTTGACTCTCCCCCTCTCAGGACCTTCTCCCATTACTAGGATATTTGCTGGTTTCTAGAAATAAAAATAGAGCATTCAAATTACCATGTTTATTCTTTTGACATGCTCTAAAATGGACAAAAGTTCTTATCATATGAGAAATCATTTCTGTATTTTCATCAAAACTAAATCAAATATTAAGCGTCCTCTACATAGTTAAAGCATTTGACATAATTGAAGTCAGAACTAACTTTATATAAACATCCTTGCTATGGAAACACACCTTATTTGCAAAATTATATCATCAAATAATTACAAAGCAATTAAAGCTATCACTTCTATTCATCCCATAGAAAAAACTAATAATTTTTAAACCTGCACAGAGTTTATGTGGTTGAAAAATTTTATATAAAATTTCAAACCACAACATAATCGCCTTCATGTGAATAAGTTGAATGGAATATTCCTTCCTAAATATTTCTAAACTACCATAGAAAAACATGATCAGCATTCAACAACTCTATTAAAATTCATGCATCAGCTATCATACATGCAAAAGAAAGAAATTCCAAATATAATTTCAAGATGTAGGAAAATAAAAACCAAGACTAATACAGAACTATAAAAAGAAAAGAGTGGGCTGCAAATGTATCTACCATATTTTCAGTCACCCTCATCTATAGACACTTGGAAACAGAGAAACTGTTGAGACAGGCTTTGGAAGGGGGAGAGAGTGAGTCTCCTTTGTAAAGTCTTCGGAGGAAAATGTATGTGTTTTTAACTTATTGGATTCATTTATTCAATCAACAAATGTATTTTTAGTATCTTCTAAGGATAAAGAACCATGCCAAGCTTTAAGAGGGAAAACAAAAGCACAGTAAAAACCAAGTTCCTAACCTCCAGATGCTTACTACGTAAGTAGAAAGAAAACTAAGAAGCATTGTATAATATTAGAAGCTAGTGCCACGTATGAGTTACAGAGAAGACTGAGGTCTTGGGTTCAAGATTAAGCTGAATTACTTTAAAGATCCCTTTCAATTTGCTGATTGTTAAAAATGTTTCAATGAAAACAAAAAGCACTAAAAAAACTAATTCAAAGGAGGAAGTGATGAATTAAAGATTCCATTAAGGGAAATGTTCATTGGGAATGGAAGTGGGAATGGTGTCCATTAGACGGATATGAAAATGAACAGGAACCATCATGGCACAGCAGAGGAAGGGCAAGGACACCACAAGGAGTGGAAAAAGGATATGACCAGGTATGCATAAGACACAGAAGTCTGACTTCGGCCAGGTGCAGTGGCTCACACCTGTTATCCCAGGACTTTGGGAGGCCGAGGCAGGAGGATCACCTGAGTCTAGGAGTTCAAGGCCAGTCTGGGCAAAACACAAAATAGTGAGATTCTGTTTCTACAAATAATTTTTAAAAATAGCCTAGTGTGGTGGCATGCACCTGGAATCCCAGCTACTCAGGAGGCTGAGGTGGAAAGATCGCTTGAGTCCAGGAGATTGAGGCTACCAGGGTACTACCATGAGCCATGATTACGCCACTGCACTCCAGCCTGGGTAACAGAGCAAGACCCCGTCACCAAAAAAAAAAAAAAAAAAAATTTATTCTGAAAAGGGCTCACGTTAAGAGTAGTAGGATGAACCTAGACTCTGGATAGTCTAAAATGCCAAGTGAAGTAATTGGACCATTATATTACAGTCAGTCAGTTTACAGGAGAGGAGGAGGAAGTGGAACTGGGTGTGGGGTGGTAAGAGCTCTGTCCAATGTCTTGTCAGCAGAAATGGCGAGGGAGGTATGGAGCTGAGAAGCATCTTAGAGGAGAAAATTAACAGGACTTTGTGACTGGCTTAAGTTAAAAGAGTAAGAAAAAGGGTGGTAAAGATTTTACCAAGGTTTTAAGTTTATGTGACTGGAAGAATAATGGTGCCTCTTATGGACATAGAAAAGTTGTAAGAGGAAATGGTTTAAAAATAAGGAACAATAAAGAGGAGACAACATATTGAGCTTGAAAAATGGTTAGGCATGGTAGCTCAAATCTGTAATCCCAGTACTTTGGGAAGTCGAAGCAGGAGGATCGTTTAAGCCCAGGAGTTTAAGACCAGCCTAGGCAACATGGAGAGACAAAAATTATCCAGGCATGGTGGCACATGCCTGTGGTCCCAGCTACTTGGGAGGCTGAGGTGAGAGGACTGCTTGAGCCCAGGAGGTTGAGGCTACAGTGAGTTGTGATCGTGCCATTGCACTCAAGCCTGGGCAACAAAGTGAGACCCCGTCTCAAAAAATAATAAATAAAATGAAAGAGTTTGAGAAATGTGAGATGCCTAAGTCATACTAGCCAGAGGAATGAGAAGAGGAAGATTTGGATTTGAAAGTTATTATCACTGGAGTGTGATACCTGAAAACATGAGATGAGATTGGTTCACCCTACTAGAAAGAAAAAACTATTTATCAAAGGTCCATTATGTATAAAGTGTTGTACTTCAGGCCTTTAGGAAACAACAAGAAATAAAACATGAAGTTCTTAACTTTAAGGCGCTTAAATCCAGGAGGAAAAGACAGACAGCTTTGAAGACTACAAGGCAGAGGCTGGGCACAGTGGCTCACACTTGTAATCCCAGGCACTTTGGAAGGCAGAAGCATGTGGATCACCTGAGGTCAGGAGTTCAAGACCGACCTGGTCAACATGGTGAAACCCCATTTCTACTAAAAATGCAAAAATTAGCTGGGCATGGTGGTGTGTGCCTGTAGTCCCAGCTACTCGGGAGGCTGAGGCAGGAGAATTGCTTGAACCCTGGAGGTGGATGTTGAGGTGAGCTGAGATTGCGCCACTGTACTCTAGCCTGGGCAATAGAGTAGACTCCAACAAGAAGAAAAGAAAGGAGAAGAGAGGAGGCAGAGGGCAGATTATGAAAAGTGACAATATAGAAAGAAAAACTGCATGGAATGAATGATTCGTTTCACTGAACATCAGTACAGTCTTTAGGAAGATGACTGTGGATGACTTTAAGTGAGGATAACTAAGATTTGGATAAGCATAAACAACAAAAAAAACTTTTCAGGCTCATGGAACCCCACAGGTAAGGACATAAAAACACAGACATGGCATATTAAGAGCCTATACATATTTTGATGTGACAAGAGCAGTGAATGTTTGGTGTAGAAATGCAACTGGAAAACTATATTGGGAATAAAATACCAGATTAAGGAAATTAGAGGCCGGGCACAGTGGCTCACGCCTATAATCCCAGCACTTTAGGAGGCCGAGGCGGGTGGATCACTTGAGATCAGGAGTTTGAGACCAGCCTGAACAACATGGTGAAACCCCATCTCTACTAAAAATATAAAAAAATTTAGCCGGGCATGGTGGTACACACCTGTAATCCCAGCTACTTGGGAGGCTAAGGCAGGAGAATTGCTTGAACCCAGGAGGCAGAGGTTGCAGTGAGTCAAGATCATACCATTGCACTCCAGCCTGGGCAACAAGAGCAAAATTCTGTCTCAAAAATAAATAAACAAATAAATAAATAAAAATTAAAAAATTAGAATTTATTCTATAGGCAAGCCAAGACAGGACAGTGAGATAATCATATCTATATTTAGGAAGAAAGTCTGATAGCCATATGAAGGATGATTGGAAAGGATGGATGGACGACAAAATAGAGACAGAGAGACCAGTTTGAAGTGGCTAAAATAGTTTAGGGAAAAGTAAGGGCACCCTAACTTGTGAAAATGGTCATAAAGGAACATACAAAAGAATTTCAAGGTAAGGGTTCAAGACTTGGCTGGGCACAGTGGCTCATGCCTGTAATCCCAGCACTTTGGGAGGCTGAGGTGGGTGGATCATGAAGTCAGGAGTTCGAGACCAGCCTGACCGACATGGTAAAACCTCGTCTCTACTAAAAATACAAAAATTAGCCGGGCATGGTGGTGTACGCCTGTGATCCCAGTTACTCAGGAGGCTGAGGCAGGAGAATCACTTGAACCTGGGAAGCGGAGGTTGCAGTGAGCCGAGATTGCACCACTGCATTCCAGCGTAGGCGACAAGAGTGAGACTCTGTCTCAAAAAAAAGAAAAAAGAGTTCAAGACTTGGTATTGCCTTTTCACACCATCTTCTCAATCCTCATTCATTCAACAAATATTGTTTGATCACAAACTAAGTAACAGGCAGTGATTTAGATGCTACAGAAGCAGCAGAAAACAAAAACAGGAAAAATTTTTGCCCTCATGGAGCTTACAGTCTAGTGAGAAGAGAAAGACAATAAATAAATAAGTATACAAAGTATACAACATATCATATACGGATAAGTACCGTGGAAAAGAAAACAAAAAGCGAATACAAAAGATTGTCACATCTGTTATTATGGCTGACTAGGTGCTCTGATGGACCCTGCCCTTAACAGAATAGCTATATGCTATATAAGAAACAAACCAGGCATGGTGGTCTACACCTGGAATCCCAGTTACTCCAGAAGCTGAGGTGGGAGGATTGCCTGAGCCCAGGAGTTCGAGGCCAGGCTGGGAGAAACCCTGTCTTTGATAGGAGAGGAGGGGAGGGGGCAGGAAGGGGAAAGGAGGGGAGAGGAGGAAAAGGGAGAAGGAAAGGGGGAAGAGGGAGAGAGAGACAGCAGAGGAAAGGGAAAGGAGAGGAAAAGGAAAAGAAAGGAAATATTCCTTGAAGCATCCTGGATCGCACAAGAGATAACAAACTTTACCCTCACTCCAAATAAGGTATCCTTGTGGCTGGAGAGTTAGGGAAAGGCAAGGTAGGCCTGAGAGCAGCTGCCAATAATGCACTGCAGCAAGGACACTGAGCCTTGGGCCAGGGCCACCAGCAAGGTAAGGAGGCTGAGCCTGCTACCCCACAATCACCAAGACCTTCAAGGGCACTAAAGGAAACCTAGATGCTACCAGTAGAAGCCAAAGCAAACCCTTTCTGGAGGAAACACTTACCAACTTAGGCCTGATGAGTAAAACATTACATTTTCCAGCTAAAAGACACAGGTATTTCCATATTGGATTAAAAACAAAATCCATGCTATTTACAAGAGGTCCACCTAAAGGTAA